CCATATATATATATATATATATATATATATATACATAAAGTCGAAATTTCAGTTGCACTACTGCAGATGCAATGAGTAGTTAAAAATTACGGATTACCACTGTACGCGCCCCGGGCCCATGAACCCAGGTTAGATGGACGAGGTTACACGAGAACCGATATTCGTCCAAATAGCACTGCGAGTGCATGAGATAATACATTTTTCCATTCTCGACAGAGCCTTTAGCCGCATTCAAATCAACCAAGAACTAGTCACAGCCTCAAAGCCCTATTGCATGATGCAATCAACCACGGTAGTCCCCATATGTCCAGGACACTTGACAGATTAGTTACACAATCAAATNAGTTATTTATTGTACGTGAGGAGCATGGACTACTCAACATCACAGGATCTTGCAGATCATTTCATTGACCAGTTACTGCACTGACCAAAACACTATAGAATGAAGTGGACTGTTGTGATTTTAACCCTCGGTCTTAAAGGACCTAGTAAGTTGTTCTATCACCATATAAACCATCCAGTAATGGCAAACTGTGTTAACCTGGATCACCGTGCTGTTTAAAGAAAGTTTCCTCTCTATCTGTGTTATAGTCAACACATAGATGCCCATACCAGTACCCTCGTCTGAGTGAGACTGCGTGCGCGGGTGCTCGCGTACCTAACTTGGGTTCAAACTCTCCGGTAATCGATAACAGAAATCTGTCATTTGAAACTAGTGATGGTATCTTCATCGGATACCGTGTGTTTGCTAAAACGATGCAATGATAACCTACTTTCGTAATTATTTTTTATAAAAATTCAGCTTTCCGTTTTTCGCACCACAACAGGCGTCCATCGCACACCTCTCGTTTCATCCTAAATTGATCAGTTTTTGCTGAACTTTGCAGCAAATTAACGAAGTCAACAATGTTTGAACCTTGTGAGAATAATCTTTAGGTCGAGTCAAATGCACGATCTCAGGCGAAAGTTTGCCTTCTCTCTTCTTTCTGAGTCGGTTCAGTTTCGGGACTCAAGCATCTAGTCGATTGGGTTTGGTTGTATTTTCGATCCCGTGGGTCGAGATTCCCACCGATGAAAAAGGGTTAAGGGGTCTGATGAACAAGAACCAGGAGGAACCGGTGTTTAAGATTGCAGAAACTTTAGCCATGTGCTTCTAATGAGACAGGAATATGCTGTATGGATATTTTAACATTGAGTGTATGCACCATCGTAATCGGGAGAACCCCGTTTACAAGGAAGCGTAGAGTGAAAAGGAACAGAATGCTCAAACGATACGAAACAGTGCACCAAATGCGAACGATCAATGCGGTAAACATACTTTGGTCAGGGTGCTCGACTGGACCGTGGATAAACCGGCCGACCGCAGAGTGGTTAGCACACGGGCATACAGCTGGTGAACACACGAGGCCAGAGTGGACGGCGCGGATGAGGCCTGATCATAGCCAACAATCCGAGCGATTTTCACGGCCAAAGCATCTGTGGAGTAGAGCAGATTGAGTAATTCCATGGTCGCGGCAACCGGGACAACTGCTCGTTGTCGATCGGATGTGTACTCCTGTAAAAACACTGGGCTACCTGGAAAGAGATGGGAACGATTCGGAGTCGGATGAGGCGGCGTTACAACTTGAGATGTGAACTGTTCAAAAGCAGTTCAGATTAGTCGGGATACACAGAATTCGATTCAGTTCTGCTAACAGCCAATCCACATGGTTCAGTCTTATGGTTACAACTTTTATTCCAAGCGATAAAATGCTCACCTTTTTTTACTTCTTCTCGACTAATACTCTTCAGTCAGGAATCAGGCCGAGGAATTCAGTTGGTCAAGTGTGTGGTCGGGGCTCAAGTAACACAGTTAGGAAGAGCACTGAAGTTATTGACCGTCATTAACAATCCAACACCTAACTTAAAGACCGTTAATGCGACTGTTTCAAAAGATTCCAGCAGTAAAGAGCATGGAGAATTACATTCAAAAGATAATCTTTTGTTCAATTCTCTACGCATGATGATACGTTAGACTTCTAAACAAGCACGCACAAACCGGCAAATGTCCGATACTCAAAACTCACTATCACGTGCATTGTTGATAAACTCACAGTGTAACTGTGGCCCGATAGAATGCCATTTATAAACCAACTAATTCCCTATCTGTTGGGTCAAATTTGTGCAGCCGGGAAGAGCCGACCGACGCCAAGGCTTCCGTCCATCATCTATGCTCCCCATGCCATGACATACATCGTATGATCGTTTCTATGATCTGATGTCTAGGAATTACAGGTAAGGTTTGTGTCAGAAGTCAACGGAAAGGCGTACATAGCCTGTGACCTACCTACCGGATAGATTCGTATTAACGTTTGGTTTGCGGACACCAATACATTTCAATCCAGAATATCTATGAAATGGACTTACTTCCATGTATAAACTGGCCACAGTAAAGTAGACGATATCACGTGCACAAAAACAGTGACTGATAAACACTCACCGATATCATTGCCCTGTGATACCGCTTCTTCAAGCCAGTGTACCAGAGAGATTACGTCGCCGAAGCCTAGATTTACGCCCTGACCAGCCAGAGGCAAAATCCGATGTGCCGCATCGCTGGAACAGATGAGGTGAGCAACGCAAAGCACATAGATGGATTGATCAGAGTAAACGGAGTAAACGCGATCATCGCTCGACCACCGACTGTGGTAGTTTACAGTAACACCCTCAGTGAGTCTGTCTCAGATACCATCAAAACCAGGGCAAACTGAAACAACAATGAACCATCAAAAAATGAAATCAATCTTCAAGACATGCCACTATGGAAAATATGAAGCTTACATCCTGTTGCACAGCACAAATAACACTGGAACCTTAAATCTTGTGATGTTCTACTAAATGTTTGGTTGGCACAGTGATTTAGTTGCTGTCACTGACGTGCTTTGAACCTTATGGTCCGAGGTTCTAATCGCGCTACCGCCACCCACCTCTGGTGATAGGTAGCTTTGATGTCATCCAGTTTAATACCACGCCTATCCTTGTGGGGCCGTATATGATTCGCCATTCCAAGTCCCCCATCACGACGAGACTGTACCTTGGCATGGTGTGATGGCTTGCGCGCCTCCATGACCCTGCGAGCTATACAGGATGGCTCCTCACAGCCGCAGATCCAATCATGCCTGAAA